ATTATTGGTGTGGGACCTTAACCTTTCTCAGCTCCACCACGCTGTTGTAAATCCCTGTGAAGCCATGATCGTATGCGTGGTCTTCGTCTGTGAAGCAGAGAGCGTGTGCCTTTTCTTGCTTACATCAGAGCATGTTTACAAAATCAAAAGGTGGCATGTGTAGAACCCTGCTGACAAGATGTTATGCAAAGACAGAAGCTGAGTGCACCTTTCCCTCGTCGACCTGGAGTCTACATTAGCACTCAGGCCTCTCCGAGCTCCTGTCTTGCAGGCATCAGCTCTGACAGCCTTTGAAAAGAGCTTGTTCACATTAGGAAGAAAGCAACCACTCTTCTAATGTTGATAAATTTTGCAGCAGTTTCTTTAATATATACCAGCCGCCTTGAAACACATCTAATTAAGCAGCAGATAGCTTACTGGGACTGCATTTGGCTTTGATGTGCTCATCAGCATTGGGGAGGAGGTATTAGGAAGCTAGTCATAATAGGACTTAGCTCTTATAAAATGCCTTTTATCTTCAAAGTGGTTTACAACCACTAATTATTACAGGAATTAGGGTGAATAGCAGCCATCTTGGTAAGACCTGAAGCCATTAGCAAGGGCCTTTAATGTATTTTATAATAGATCAGGGGGAGCGCACAGGGGGTGTTTAAGAACAGCTGTCCGAACCTGGAAGAATTATTTTATAGAGGTAAGACAGCTGTTCCCTGTCTCCCTGGAGGCTAGAACATGGAAATTGGACTTAATTTGAGGAGAAAGGATGCTGACTGGAGGATTGCACAAAGCTACAGCAGCTTGCCTGGGGGAAGATGGTCTTTATCAAAGGCACACACCTGACCCTCACAGGGGCTTGTCCCTTCCCGGTGGTGGTGGTCTGAGGTCACTGCACCGTGTTCTGTCCAGCTGGAGAGTCTGTGTTACTTAATCAATCTTGAATTCTTTTTGTATCTTCATATGTTTGCTCTCTTTTCCTCTTTAGTTAGGGGATGGAGAGCAAGCAGATAAAGATACATATCTGTCTGTCTATCATTTATCTCTCTCTATGTATCTCACTTACATACAGATATATATGTACAGATACACACACACACACACACACACACACACACAAATATATATGTTCGGGAGGTTTAGGAAGCACAGCCCTGCTGGAGGAGATCCATCACTTTGAGATTGACAAACCTTCCCCACTTCTGGTTTTCTCTCTCAGCTGTGTGCTTGCTTGCAGTTTAAGATCTGAGCTCTCAGCTTCTGGCTCTGGCTGCCATGCCCGCCTCTTGCTACTGTGCCTCCCCACCGTGATGGATTCTTATCCCTCTGAGATTGTAAGTGAAAATGAACTCCCCCGTCTGTAAGTTGCCTTGGTCATGACATTTCATCCCAGCAACAGAACGGTTATTATTGATACGACATTACACATACATATATGTATATGTATAGATATACATATATATGTTTGCCTTTTGGAAGGAAATACAATTGAGGAGGAGGAAGCCAGTTTGATTTCAACAACAATAATAGTAATGATACCAGCTACTTCTGGTCATGTAGTAGCATAGAGATAGCTGTGGAGGACACTGATGAAAGATCAGCTTGTGGAGTCCTCCAGACAAACTCAAGCCCATGTGTAGGCAATCTCTTCTCTCTCTTTGAGGGTAGTTTTTCTTCCCAGCTCTGCCTGCCCCGTCTCCTGCATTTTACAGATGTGAAAAGAGACCATGAAGATGCCACCTAACTCATTGACTGTCATACAGCTAGGCAGCAATGGAGGCAGGACCTAGGGCAGCTTGGCTCTTCCCACTCCGCTGTGTCACCTCCCAGAAGCTCAAGTGTGATGACCACTTCACACTTCATTCTCTCCCTAGCAAAAGAGCAGGGTGTGTGTGTGGTGTGGTGTGTCATCTGGCAAGAGTTGCCCACCTTCAGACCTGCCAACTCTGAGGCTGTCATTGGGAAATTGGGGTCCCACTGCACGTGAGATTCTCCTCCTCCTGAAACCTGGATACTTCAGGAGATTTGAATGGCTCTCAGGGATACTCTGGGCTTTGATCTCCTAGCTGCTTGCTACAGAAGGGCTTCCAGAGGAATCAGTGTGATTTAGTGGCTGCCTTCAAGTTGGCAGCAGGTAAAGTGTTGAGAGAAATATCAGCTGAAGCCAGATTAGGGAAGACATTCACTTTAACCCCTCAGGAGAGATTTAGGTTTGATCTACAAACTTTCTGATTGCACACATAAGCTGCTAAAATTACTCTGGGTAACTGGGAAATCTTCCTAGAAATGTTCAAGGATTGGATAATTTTCATCTGCATGTGACGTGTTTACAGGGAATTATTCTGGAGGAAAAGAATGGTTTGGAAACTCAGCTGCAGGCAGGTACAAAGTATGTTCTGCTGAGGGAATCAACTCAGTGATAGGGTGTGCTTAGTTAGCATGGGCAAGGCCCTGGGTTTGGTCTCTAGCCAGGAAGAAAGAAAGAAGAGAGGGAGAGAGAGAGAGAAGAGGAAGGGAGGCTGGAAGAGAGGGTGGAATTTAGCCTATCTTTGTTGTAACTGTATTGTCTCTTGGTCTAATAAAAAAAGTCTTTCAATTTAAAAAATGTATTAGTTTTGTGTGCACGTGTGTGTGTGTACACATGCCACTGTATGAGTGTGGAGGTCAGAGGACAGGTTTGTGGAGTCGGTGTTCCCCTGTCACCTTTACTTGGGCTCAGGGACTTGAACTCCAGTCATCAGACTCACCTGGCAAGTGCATTTACCTATTGAGCTCCCTCACCAACTCCTCCAACGGAAAATCGGGAAGACAAGAACCCTGTCTATCCCCAAGGCTAATGCTTCCTTGGGCTCCATCCGTGCGGGAGATAGCTGAGCTCAGGACAGGGTTACGCTTTGCTTCTGTTATTGAGTCCCCCCATTGCCCTTGGAAAACCCACATAAACTGTGCAGGGGCTTCAGGGGAGGGGAGAGAAGGCTGGATGCCAGTAGATACGTGGCCATCTGCGGAACCTCAGCCCTGCTTCTGTGTGCTTAGGGCAGTGGTTCTCTACCTGTGGGTCACGATCCCTTTGGGGGGGTCATATATCAGATATCCTGCATATCAGATATTCAATACAATTCATAACAGTAGCAAGATTAGTTATGAAGTAACAATACAATCATTTTATGGTTTGGGGTTGCTACATTATGAGGAGCTGTATTAAAGAGTCACAGCATTAGGAAGGTTGAGAACCACTGGGTTAGGGACTGCACATTCTGGAAGTTTCCACAGGGAAATTGTTTAATTTTCACCTGCTTTTTTGTTCTTTTTGACAGAATTGAATGTCAAAGGAAGACTCAGGGTTTTCAGTTAAATACAATAGACTAGTGGGGGCGTGGCTAGTGGTCCACAGCACCAGCTGCTTTGTCAGAGGACCCACATTTGGCTCTCAGTGCTCACATGGCCCCTCACAACCATCTGTAACTTCAGTTTCAGGGAATCCAGTGCCCTCTTCTGGCCTCTATGGGTACTGCACACATGTAGTGTACAGACAGACAAGGCAACCATACACATAAGATTATATATACATATATGCACACAGTAGACTAGGCTGTATTATTTAGGCCGGAGGAGACAGAAGAAGGCTGTGGCCCCAACAGAACAATAATTTCTCATTTTCTTCCCCTCTTTCTTCTCAATACACTCACTGAGTTATTGACATACAGTAAGCTACATGCCTTTGAAGTCTGTACCTTGATAAGTTTTGACATAGCTGTGTGCATATACATACCTACATACTCATACATATATACATACATACATGCATGCATACATGCGTGTGCGTGTGTGTGTGTGTGTATATGCACATGAATGAAATCGGTGTTCCATATGTGGGGGATCTCCATCCAGCTAAACCTGGGAAGTATTGAAGAATAGGTGTTTGCTGCATAGGTGTGAACTTTTCTCATTGTTTTCCCTCCAGACGATGCAGTGTAAGGACTGTTAGCCTAACACTTACACTGTAACAGGTATTATAAGCCATGTCTACATGGCATACGGTAGGATACATGTGTGGTGATACACATCTGTGATCCCAGCACATGGGAGACCGAGGCAGGAGAATTCCGAATATGAGGTCAACTTGGGTTACACTGTGAGGCCCTGTCTCTAAGTAAATGTGTGGTACTGTACATATATATTTTGTATAAATACAACCCCATTTTATACAAGAACCTTGAGCTCTCAGAGAGTTTTGGGTACAGTGAGGAATCCGGGGCAATGGTTCAGGGATACTGAGAGACCATTGTGGATCAAGGAATAAGTAAATGAATCTGAGTCTGCCATGGATTCAGATGTCACTCTCATGAAGTGAAGGCCATGATCGTATTCGTCTGTCCCCTTGCCTGTTTCTTACCCCTCCACACCCTACAACATCTTCCTATTATGGCTGCCTCCATTTTCCATAAACGTGATCAAGTGCAGTCATAAAGTTGGACAACAAGTATAAACAAGTTTATGTAAGTGGAAGTGTGTGGCGTGTATTCTTCCTCGGTTTCCTGTGTTTGTGTGATTATTTTGAAATGTATCCCTGCTTGTTACTCAAGATCCAGTTCATGCCCTAGTTGTGCTTCTGTTGTATTTACACACTACAATTTGTGTATCCATCTGTCTCCTCCGTGTTGTGTGTGGTTTTTAGGTTCAGAGTTTGTAGGGCGTCCTGTTAGCCTGCCTCCTTGTCTATCCATCCGTCTCCTTCAGTGTTGCGGGTGTTTTTAAGCCTGCCTCTTTTCAGTCTCCATGTGTTTCTTCCCTTCGCTCTGAATTCTCTCATTTGATGGACTGGCTGATCTATCAGCTTTCACTGCAGATCACACTGATCCTGAGCGCTGATAACTAGGAGTTGGTTGCTAAGAGATGTCAGGACATGCCAGCGACCAGCTCTGCACCTCGATTTTCTCCCCTCCTGCTCTTTTTCTGTCCTGCTCCACCATCATCACACTCTTCTGTTTCCCGTCTCCCCTGGTCAGGTTCTGAAAATAACAAAGAAATCTACAGGTCTGATGGCCACCCCCAATGGAAGAGAGGACTCCAGCTGCCAGATACCTGGTCACGGGAAGCAGGGAAGTGGAACCTTTGTGGAGAAGCTGGACCACACAGAGAGGCTGGAGGCGGAGGTGCCAGACCAAAGTGTCATGTGGACGAAAGCACAAGAATTCTTCCAGACCTGTGATTCCGAGGGCAAGGGCTTCATTGCCAGGACAGATATGCAGGTGAGAGGGTTCTCCACCAGTTGCTGTGCATGGGCTACCTGAAAGGAGTGAGTAGCCTCTTCCCAGAAAAGATCTCCCCATCTTTGCTCTGGAGGGGTTGTCAGTACAGACTGTGTGGGGAGCCTGGTGTCTGTTCATTTCTTGCTCAGCCCATGCCCTCCGTTGGATTCTTTGCCTTCCCTGACTCTGTGACACCCTAAGACCTGGTGACAGTAACATGATGGACTAAGTATAACACAGGTGGCTGGGGCTCAGATGATAGAGTGCTTGTCTAGCTAGCATTCATGAGGCCCCAGCTTTAATCTCTAACACCACGTAAACCTACCTAAATGAGTGTGGCGACACATGCCTGTAAACTCAGCTACCTAGGAGATTGAGGCAGAAGAACTTTTGGTTCAGAGCAGTGGGTAACTCAGTGAGATCTTGGCTCAGAAATAAAATTAGAAGGGTTCTGGGGATGTAGATCAGTATTAGAGCATTTGCCCACCATCTCTAAGCCCATGGGTTCAAATACTTCAAAATTGCAAAAGTATGAAACTACAAAAAAAGTCACTTATGAAATGACTTTTCAACTTTATGTAATTTCTTGTGTGTCAGTGTGACTCTTTGATCATTTCCCAGCCCCTTTAAAGTGGAAAAAAAATTATTATTTCTCTGGCCGTACAAAACTAGGCAATGACCAGGTTTGGCATTAGGAGTGGCATGCACTGGACACTCCTACCTTGTTCCCCCACCCTCTCAGCTGCTCCCGAGAGTGAAATGGTTCATTCCCAGAGGTTGATAAGGCCTGATCCATACCGAGCAATCTACTAAAGCCAAGCACATGACAGCACACCATGGGACAGACAGGTGTGGCCTCAGCTCGCCCAGGGATGCTCAGAATAGCTGATCCAAAGCACAGGCAAAAACCAGGTATGATCAGACAGCTGTGGGTGTCCAAAGGGTGTGTGCACATCTGGCCTTGAAGACATCTCTGCTCTAGCTTCTTTTCCAATGTGAGTGTCACTTGGGCATGTGGGAAACTGTGTGACCGTGTGCTTCAGGACAATGGCGGAGCCTGAGTCTGACCAATCCTCCGTGGGTTCACACTACTGACAAAACTTGGTCTCATGCCTGTGTGCTCTTTGTATATAGGTGTAGCAGGTAGAAGGCAGCTTTGAGGGTCCTGCTGACCTTGGTGTTTCCTTCCTCATCTTTCCAGCTTAAGTATAAAGGAAACTATCACTTTTCTGCCAGATCCAGCAAGCTGAAGCTGACTGGAGAAGGAAGAAATCTAATCCCAAAGAAAGCACTGGGATCCAGTTGTTGGGAGCTAGGGAAATTTCATCCCACCTCCAGGGGGGATGTCTTTCATTTCTAATGGAGCGGATATGCACCCTGCTTGCAAAATCAACGCTCCCCTACCCTGAATTCTCCACTCCCACCCCCACCCCCCGTGGTTCTTGCCACAGCTGCTATGCAGCTGAGCTTCCAGAGTCTTTGCACACACTTCCCTCTCCTTCCTTTCTTGAGAAACCCATTCATATTTAATTCAGTTCTTCCAAATGGCTTTCCCATCAGCCTCTCTTCCCACTTGGTAATGTGTCCTAAATGCCGACATTAGTGCACAGCCAAATGAGGCTTTATGGCTCATCAGCTAAAAGATCATGAGCCCAGTGCTCCCTGCAGGTGTGTCACAGGCTGTCACACCTGCAGATTCCGAGCGACCACATGTGCGTCCACTTTCCTTCCTACAAAGTCCTGTGCATGCTGTGCATGTCTGTCACTTGCGCAGGGGTAGCTTGTGCTGCTGGCCCTCGGGTTCCTGGGGAAGGAGGCAAGCCAGCTGAGAGGTAACAAGTCTCTTGGGGATCCTCACTTGGAGATGGATTGTTAGGTACAGGAGGACTCTTGCTTTGGCCTGGGGCCATTTCACGCCAGACAGACAGAAGCCAGAGGGAAGTGTCAACAGCTCAGCTACCTCATCCCTCATGCTGTCAGTGAGTGCAGGCTTTAAACCCCCAAGGCCCTCCCAGGTGACCTACCTCCACCAGCTGGATCCTACAACCCCCTAAAACAGCATCATTACCTGAAGGACCAAGGGTTTAATCCTCATGAGTGTGTGGGAGACATTTCACATTCAAATCAGAGCCAACAGGGGCAATTGTGGGACACTGTGGGGGGGGGGGGAACAAAACATGTCTATAACTACTTATAAGAGTAGTGCTGGGGCCTTCATTAAGGAAGACCTACACATTGAGGAGCCAACATGGCTCAGGAAAGAGGGTACACAAAGGAAAAGACCAGGAAGCAGTGCCACCAACCTGGCCTGTCATGGTGGCTCTGTGAACCTGTATCTCCCTGTCTCTGTCCTTTCCTACTACTTTTTAATTTGGGGGGTGGGGTGGAGAGGTTACCAGGGGTCAAACCTGGGTCCTTGTGCATGCTATGAACATTCTTTACCGTTCAACTATATCCTCAGCCATGTCTTTACTTTTTATTTTGAAACAGTCTCAGCAAGTTACCCAGACTGGCCTTGAACTTGGGATCCTCCTACCTCAACCTCTCTAGTGGCTAGGATTCCAGCCCTGTGCCACCAGGCCTTACCCACCCTCCTACTTTGCTGGAGTGGTTTTCAGATGCCAGGTTTTGTGTCTGAGCCTTCTCATCTATGGTCTCACGTAGCTTCAGGACATCGCATCCTCTAGGCATTTACCTGGAGCTAGTCAGTCCTGGATAGCACTGGTCCTTGACAGTGCCCAGGGTGCCTGTTTTGAAGTCAGAGCTGGGTTTGACTTTTTGGCCATATGACCCTGGAGCTGACAATTTGCCTTTAAACTTCATCTTTAAAATCGGAATAGTAGTATCTCCCTCAAGGGGGTATTATGAGAATAAAATGCTAACAGATACACACACGCATAGGCTTCTTTATAAATCACATAGAAAATTGTTGGGTGCATTAGTTGGCTCCCAACAAGGGATCTCTGCACCAGTATGGTAAGGAAGAGGATACAGCAAGGTGTAGGCCCCCGCGACCATCAACATGTGGACAGATGCAGTCTGGATTGTTTTCAGAGGCTACATAAGGAGTTGCCCCTAAGTCTGGAAGAACTGGAAGATGTGTTTGATGCTCTGGATGCTGACGGCAATGGCTTTCTGACCCCAGAAGAGTTCACCACTGGATTTAGTAAGTTCTGGTGGGTGCTGGGGACCCAGGGCTGGGAGTCTCTCTGCAGCTGTGTAATGTGGCTTCCTGTTCCCTTCAACATGTTTGGACGGTCTCCAGAGCTTTACTGATTTCCCTTTGTAGGTGCAGAGCCCAAGGATTGTGGGGGGAGTAGATTATTGGGCTCTTCTCGTGTGCCCACCTTGACTGTTTGTACCATGGGATCCCCTGTGCCCATGGACTGTCTCTGCTAGAGCTCCCACATGGGAGCTCAGACAGGGTTGGCATCAGCAGTAATCCGTGTCAGGATTTTCAGCCCCTTTCCTGCTTTGAGAGACAAAATAAGAAAGCAAAAGTGTGCGTTAACTGGACAGTGCAGCGTAAGTCCTGCTGGGTTGTTTTGAGTTTAGAGTCTCTTGCGTTTAGAGGCAGCAACTGTCAGAGAAATTTCTAGGTTTGAATAGCACTGTCATTGTCAAGGTCACAAGCAGGAAGGAGAACTAAGGCCTGAGCACGTGCTAACGAATACAGAGCCTACTCTCAGATGAGGTGAACCAGTAGGCTAATTTTCCCATCTATCTGCCACCTGTAAAGGACGGTGTGATTTCCTTAAACATATCAGATGCCTTTCCTGACCCTTCCCTGGAACTTGCTCTTGACTTGAGGGGATAGGGCAGGTTGCTGTTGTGCCAGCCAGCGTCAATACAGAGAAAGTTGCCTGTACGGGCGAGGTGGCATTGTTAATGGGGATGCCAAGGCGGGCTGCTGGCAAGTATTGAAGGGAACGGCCTTTCTGCTTATCACAGAAGCAGAAAAGACACGCTCTTCTTCTCCTTTTATTGTTATTCTTTGATAGTAGTAATGGTTGAGCCCAGGGCCCTGCTTATGTTAGGCAAGTGCTCTACCACTGAGCTACATCCTCCAAAGATACATGCTCGACTTCCTTTACAGAGATTGATTAAGGAGCCATCTTACTTCCCAGCCACAGTCTCCAGGCTCGGACATCTCTATCAGAATGCAAATCAAAGAACACAAACTGCAGACTCAGTGTCCATGCTATAGAGGGAACCCCGTTTGCTTCTCCAGGGCAAACCTCGATTAAATCCCATAAAAGGAGGAAGCCAGGTCCTCCCTGGGCTGAGGATGTCTCACTTATGTCCTTGCTCTCTACTGTCCTAGGTCACTTCTTCTTCAGTCAGAACAGCCAAAGAGAGGAGGATGCTGACCAGCAGGCGGGCCGGCTCCAAGAGGAGAAAGTGTATCAGTCGAGAGGGGAGGAGGGTGTGGGAGACGTGGACCAAGATGAGGAAGATCAGTTTCAGATGCTGATGGACAGACTTGGAGCCCAGAAAGTTCTGGAAGAGTAAGTCACACTGAGCACCACACTGTCCTACTCACTGTCTCCCATGCTCTCCACTGTCCTCACTTCCTGCTGTTCATTCTCCTCATCTCCGACCTTGAATCTGCTTACCCTGTAAAGGATGCCCCTCATCGGAGGCGGCTTGGATGTGTGGTCATGAAAGATGGTGTCTTAGGTTTTCTATTGGCATGAAGAGACATGATAACCATGGAAACTCACACAAAGAAAAATAATACTTAATTGGGGTGGCTTACAGTTCAGAGGTTAGTCCGTCATTGTCATTGCCGGAAACATGGTGGTATGCAGGCAGACATGACACCGGAGAAGGAGCTGAGAGTTCTACATCTCCATCCATAGGAGGAGAACTGGCTTGAGCTTCTGAGACCTAAAAGCCCACTCCCTGGTCACGTACCTCCTCTAACAAAGCCACACCTCCTAATAGTACCTAGTAGTACCACTCTATGTGAGCCTATGGGGGCCATTTTCCCCAAACTCCAACAAGTGAGAATGGTTTAATGATTGAAGAGTCAAAGGGGTCAAGGTTGAAAGTGATCCTGCAAGATCATCAGAGAAGAACCTTGACCACAACACAGTTAAGAACAGCTGGCAAGAGAATATGTCAGGGAAGAAGGAGCCAGGCCAAGATCCCGGAGAGGGTCTGCTGGTGGAGGAGGTTAGTGGATAGGAAGTGAAACTTGCCACCAGCAGCAGGGCAGGAATAGCAGCTATGAATAGGCCCAGGACAATGCTCAGGATAGAGATGGGAGAGACAGTCAGTCACTGGGAAAGCTCATTAGTCACACTTGTGACTCAGCTTCACTGAGGACAAGAGTCCAGAGCCAGATACCACTGCCAGGGACTCCATGAAGCCTCCTGCTGCAAGAAGAGAAGGGAGAAGGGAGTGCCAAGAACAGGCCACTGTCAGAAATGGCAGGGACTGTCAGCCACTTTCTTGAAGGGGTCTCAGGTCAGTGCTCACTGGATGTCACAGTGAGGGACATGACAAATGCCTGTGTTGAACTAAGATAATTTGTCTGGAAGATGGCTTCTAGAATAGCATGCGAAGACCAACACAGAAGCTGGCAAGGTCCCCATCTTCACTAATGTGGGCTCACCCTGCAGCCTGGGGGACCTGTTCATTACAGAACCACAGACAAGCACAGCAGGTTGGAATGGCTTCCAAGCGGTCTATTGCTCAACAGAGGGTTGTGGGTTTTTTTCTAGAAGCAGAGAGATGGACTGGTTGACCGCCTTGTACCTCTCTAACCTATACTGCTTGGTGGTTCCACAAGGGGTAGCTTCCAGAAGTGGGCATCCAGACCCACAGCTTTTCTTGGGAGATCTGGTGGAATGATTTTGCCAATTAGCGAGCTATGACATTTCGTCGAGAGTTGAAAGACTTGACCTGTCTCTGTTACTTTTCTGTTGCTGTGGCCTGATAAAAACAGCTAAAGGGAAGGGAGATTGATTTTGCCTGAAAGTTTTCAGGCTATCATGGCCAGGAAGGCATGGATGGAGGACTGATGAATAGATGAGATGGGTAATCGATTGGATGGCCTCAATGAATAGGTAGATGTTTGAATGGGCTAGAAGCAAGAAAGGTTGTAAAGGAAAGAAAGGGGGAGAAAGAGGGGGGAGGAGAGGGGGAAGGAGGGGAAGGAAGTGAGTGGATTCTGCCAGCAGTGGTTGCTTCTGTTGGGTGCAAGAGAGTCATGTCTATGCCATGAGGAAGGGCAATATTGGCATGACCTGACACAACATCACTTCTGAGCAAAGCTTCTGAAATACAGTGTTTACAATGACCAGAATTTTCTTCTTTACTGAGGGAGTCCCTGGCCTTGCCCTCTGATCATATTGCCTGTAGGATTTAGTGTAGGGGTGAGTGAGTCAGATTTGTGTTTGACGTACTTCAGTTATGTCTGTAGACTTTCGAGCGTGACTCTCCATTCTCCTCTCAGTGACAAAGGTCATTATGGCCTGACTCTCTGTTGCTCCTGTAGGTGTGGGTTCTGGGTGATTCTCGTGACCTGTCACTTTGTACCTGCACACCCCTGAGTCTGGCTTGCCACTGTCTGCGTCTCCGCGTCCTTCAGACTCTCCCTTTCCCTTCCTTTCCCTCCCGCCAGTCCTCCCAGTGCCACCAGGCTCCAGTGGAGTGCTGCTGCATATTTGCCTCCCTTCCCAGCATCGAGAAGCACATTCTACCATCCATAAAACAGCATGTCTAACATACCTCAACAGTGATATCCTCCCAGAGGCGACCATCTCTCTCCAGCATCTCAGTGTTGGCCCTCCCCAAGTGCCTCCAAACTCCTGGCAGTATTGAGATGCTGGCAAGTGCGTTGCCATGCGTGCAAGTCCAATAGGAGCATCACAGAGGAAGGAAGCAGCAGACTGAGAGATCGGCACAGGAGTCAGGCTGCTGGCGCACTCTGGCATAGTACCAGGGAACGTTCCTAGCATGCTGCGTCTACCTCCCAGGTTATAGTGGGGATAAAGGGAGACCGTCAGTATGCAGAAAACACTCTGGGCCATAAACTCCAGTGATCTAAGGTGGTGACAATGATGTTTCCAGCTGTCTGCTCCCTCATCTGGAACCCCCATGTTTCCTCCAGGAGTCTCACTTACCCACTCCCTGTTAATGGTTCTCCCTTCCCTGACAGTGAAAGTGACGTCAGGCAGCTGTGGCTGCAACTGAAGAAGGATGAGCCTCACCTGCTGTCCAACTTCGAAGACCTCCTCACCACAATCTTCGCTCAGCTCCAAGAAGCCCATGAGCAGAAGAATGAACTGGAGTGTGCCCTCAGGAAGTAGGTGTCCATCTCCGCCCATGTGGGCCGTGCGCTCTCTCCTGTCTTTTCTGTAGGTTCACTATAGTATGCTTCTTTGTCATGATGTCCCAAAGGGGGTCAGAGCACTATGACTGGCATGGTATAGCATGGAACTACTTCTCAGTCCCAGCTCACCCTTATTAAGCACCTTCTGTTTGCTAGAAGCTATTCTAAATACTTTATGTACATTAGCTCGTTTGATGGGGATGCTCAAATATTACCCACATTTACAGATGAGAAATAAGGTTCGGAAAGTAACATGCCTAAGAACACACAGCTTGTAAGTGTCAGAGACAGAATTCAGAGGTAGTTAACCTAGAGCCTTGGACAGGAAGGGAGAACAGCCTGCCTGCCTGTACACAGTTAAGCCCTAGCGTTATGGGCTTCTCTCAATTCCCAGCATCCCTCGCTTTGTAGAAGTCCTATGTCTGTAAGGGCCATCCTGCCCAGTGTAGCCTCCCCTCTTGGTAGCCTCTTTGCTGCTATGGTGTATCAGAAGACAGAGCCACGACTCCTAAGGAACTGCTGCCAATCTGGACCAATGTCCACATGGGCAAATAGATCAGATCAGAAGCAGCCTGTGGAGGTGGAGCTCCTCCAATGAACTAGCCTTTGCTCAGGGTGCTGCCCTGGCTTCTCCTGGTCATCTTACATGTATTTACACAGTGAGCTGGTATTTGGGAATGTGGACTTGTCTGTGGTGTGATAAAGGGTGGTCAGTCACCCTAAGGAGAGGCTGAAACCCAAGGCAAGAGCAGTCAGATCTGGAATGTTCCCTCATAAAACACCTCATGCCCCCTGCATGCTCGTGTTCAGGCCCAGACTGGCTCACATTTTCTGTGACTCCCCAGTGAGCTGTCTCTCTTTCTGGGCAGTTCTGCAGAGTGCCTGTCCAGTGACATGCTTCTTTCCAGAGTTACAAGTCCATGGGCCCCTTGTTTGAGTGTATGTTACTGGGTAGATTGGAGTCTACATACTATGCCACACTTTTTTATCTTGTGCCTTCCCAATCTAACTCTCAAAATAACCACCAAAGAAGAACTATGTGTAGGGAAAACATTAGAACTCTGCCTGCTTTGTTGAGTTTAAGTCATGCAGAAGGATACCCAGTGGCCAGAAGATTGTTAATAGCATTTTAGGGCAGCCCACAAAGTGTGAAGGAAGGAAGGGATGGGAAGGAAACTTAGAATCAGACAGAAAGCAGCTTGGATCTTGGTTCTGACACTTGTTAACTAGCTGTGCAACATACACCAAGTTGCTTAACATCTCTGAACCTCAGCTTCCTTATCTGCAAGGAATGTGGTATAGTATCCATCTAACAAGAGTTGGAGGTGCCAGTGGAATCACACTTGTGTCTAAACACCATGAATGTCAAAAAAATATAACTGTCAGTCACCATATCTTGGTCAGTTTGGGAATTTGTCTGACTGAAGGAGAAAGTGAAGTGTATTCCAGATGCCGCATCGTGAGTCTGTATCTTGATGCCATGCCATGAGCACTGTGTGTAAACCTCAGAAGCTGGGGCTGGGAGTCAGGACATCTGGGGTGAGTCCTTCGGGGATTGGCAACCGGCTGGCTCTGTTACCCTGCTGGAATCTCTTGGCCTCTTTGAGCCTCTGTTTTCACATCTGGAAACTGGGGAATAAGGATTAGTTTCCCCTCCTTTCCCCAACACCGATGGCTTGGTTCAGTGGAGCCAAAGCAAAGACAGGAAGGCGGTCTTTCTACCTGAATGGAGAGGCCGCTGGCCTGCCTGGCTTGTGCTCACAGACATAAGCATCTGTTGACCCCACACCTGCAAAGGAAGGCAATCCCTGCCACACCTCGGAGCTTTGTAACCTCAAGTCCATCTGAGAGTGGCCTCAGGAAATACTCAGACTCTAATTTAGTAATTATGTTTAACATTCTTGAGGTGAGAGTCAAGGCCACTCTTGGCTGCATGTTCAAAACCATCCCATCCCTTCTGGGCCTTCCTCTGTCCATAGACCTGCTGGCTGAGACTGTTCATGGCCAGCACTGCAGGGTGGTGCTGTGTGCTCTCTGCCAGTCTCATCCAATGGGACTGCCCCTCTGACTGCAGAACCAGACTGGCAGGTAGTAGGGAGTAGAACACCCACACAGGAAAGAGGAAGAACTAGAGTTCTTACTCTCTGGCCATGTACAAGCTGTGTGACTCCAAGCTACTTGCTTTCCCTCTCTGTGCATGGACTGTTTGTTGACAACATATGTGAACGGGGAGAGTGTTTCTTTCAAACCCTTTGTGAGTGTGACCTACCAGAAAGAAGAAATGCTTTTCGTTGCAGTCTTTGCACACTGATTTATATATACAACTGAAAGCTAAGTTTCTATAAGCTAGCTCATGCTTATGTTTCATGGGACAATGAGATTTTCTATTAGAGGCTTATAAAAGTCTCATTTATTCTATTAAAAGATTTGGTCACGCCTTGTCAGTAGGCCAGATGGTCTATAAGGTACCATGTGCTCCATAACCCTGGCAGCTCAGAAAGCAAATGAGAAACTGGAAATGGGGTGTTGAGCTCTTAAATGGTCTCTCTGCAAATAACACACAAGGTGAGGCTTCACGTTTGTCAGGTGAGGAGGCAGCCAAGCTGCAGGGAAGGAAGTAGGCTCAGAGAGAAAGGCTTTAGACTGCAGGATGGAAGCAGAGCATCCTGGGAATGGTGTGTCCTGCTGAGCTGCCAGAGTCTCCAGCTCTGCCAGAGTCCCTCTCAGGACAGGTGTGACACTTGTCACAGAGGCTGGAAGTGGCAGGAACAAGTCTTGGCTGCTGTGTGACCCCTGTGTGTTACCACTGGGCGACATTTAATTAGGGCTTCCTCTGTTCCAGGCTCTGAGTTAGTTGCCATCTCTAAGGAGTGGACATGTGGTCACTCTGACCAGGCAGATTCAGAAGAAATCTGCCCACCGCTGAGCAGGAAGCCCCGACTGGAGCTCTGGGCAGGGTGGCCACAGACAGACAGTGTCTGCTGCTTCTCTCTGCAGGCTACACAGCTTGCTTCTTCCTCCTGTGGGACCCAGAGAAAATGGAGGGTTGACTTCCAAGGGAATGTGGGTGTGGTCTTCCTTTGGTTGGTTGAGGCACGCACTCTGCTCCCTGTTCTCAGCTCCCTGGGCTGGACTGGGAACCTTGGGCTGCAGGTTTGCTGCAGTAAGTGGGAAAAGCCCTTGCCACCTCATGTCCGTTCCCAGGTGGTGGGAGGGAGAGGATGCCCCTGAAAGACGGATAGCTGGAAAACCATTGACATCTTGACATCACAGACCAAGCCCAGAGTGTGCTGGGAGTGTCAGAAAGAGCTGGGGCCTGCCTCCCCTTGTTGCCATGGATATAGTTGAACTAAGAGGAGACATATCTGAGAGCATTGATCTCTTTCTACTGTGTTTGCATGTCCATTGGGAAGTAGCCTCAGTCCCACAAGGCCAGGTGAAAAACAAAGCCAAATGCAAGAGCCCAGGGCCTCTGCCCAGTGTTCAGTGAGAACTGCTCCCTCTGGGCCTCGCTTCTCTCTGAGGATGTGGGTGTTCCTCAGTACCTCGCTGCTCTCTCTCTCTCTCTCTCTCTCTCTCTCTCTCTCTCTCTCTTTCTCTCCTCCCCCTCCCTCCCCCACCCTGTGCATGTGAGCATCTGCTAGAATGCATGTGAGCTATGCATGCTAGCTTAAGGGGTATATCAGTTACCTGCCAAAAAGCAGTTGACTTAGGGAGGGAGGAAGGACTGTTTTTGGCTCACAGTTGGAGGGTGTACAGTCCATTGCTGGGAAAGAATGGCTGAGGATGTCTCTGAGGAAGTGTGATGGCTTATTCACGTCTCAGTAGATCAGGAAGCCGGCACGTGCACGCACACAAGCACGCACGCACGCACGCACGCACACACACATGTGCACACAAGCAGGCACTCACATGTATGGAATGGAGAGGCTAGAGAGAGAGAGAGAGAGAGAGAGAGTGCTAAAACAAGTGAGACGATAATCCAAGACTCACTTTTCTACCATTTCCCCTGAGACCTCACCTCCTAAAGGACCTTCAGTGCTAGTAGTAGCTGGGGATCAAGGTTTCAAACCCATAAGCCTGTAGAGAAATTTTATACCCACACCATAGCAGGAGCTATAGACTGTTACATGTGTGGAAGACTTTCCAACTGCCAGAATTAGGAAGATTTTGCTATGGAAAGGGTACCCGGCACTCATCATTTTCTGGAAACAAAAAAGAAGCTGGCAGTGTCTGAGTGGCGTGGGGTGATGGAGTTACGTGCCTTGCTTGGATTCACATTGAGGTTGTAAACCATAATGACGCCAGGCTCCCACCTCGGACGGGTTCAGCTCACTCGACTGTGTGTAAGAGTTGGATGTCTGGGTTTTTTTATTTTCTTTTAAAAACTGGGGTGAAAATATGTCATGTTTTGCTTGCAGAGGGCCTGAAGCTTCAGGCTGAAGATCAGAGCCCAGCAAGGCTGACCTGTCAGCCTGGCTCAGACTCCATTCCTAGAGTCCCATGGCCCAGAAATACTTGCCTGGCTTCCTGATCTGTGTTTATAGAAGACCACACTCGTCTTTGATGGGCTCCGTGTCTGCCTCAGTTCCTCATCTGCCCAGACTCAATCTTGCCCATTTAAAGCCATTGGTAGTTTCTGTGTGCCATTTGTCCTTTAATTATAGCCCCACACAGCCAGTATTCAAGCCTTTCCTGCCCAGAGCGGCTTCCTTCGACTTCAGAAAAGGGACATGACAGGGACAGCTTATTACACAGCAGGACAGACATCCTGTTGGAGCATCCATCAGTCATCACCTAGTTACCGTATTCCCTGGCACGGAGCTCTAGAAACAGGGAAACTAGCTGGGGAGGGAAGGCATCGTGTCCTTGGCCTTGACTCCGAATAGAATAACAAAGTGTTTTGTACGTGGCAGGTGTCCCTTACATGCCGCACGTGCTCCCTGCCTTCTGGAGGGCCTCAGCTGGTGACT